CTACCACCACTGCTACCACTGCTACCACTGCTACTGCTGCTGCTACTGCTGCTGCTGCTGCGTCATGATGATATTATCATTATCATCATCATCATCATCACCATCATCAGCATCGTCCCGCTTCTGCCTGCTGCTGTTGCTGCTGCTGCTGCTTGTTATTCTGTTGCTGTCATTGTGCTCTGGTTGTCACTATCTTTGTCTGTGTCGCTATCGTTGCATCAGGGAAAGTTACCAAAGCTCCCTCTCTGCAGGGAGGGCTTAGCTTTCGTTTGATCAGCAAAAGGGGGTGTGGGGGAGGGGACCAGCCAGAAACTTTTCGAGCCAACCCCCAGGCCATGAGGTGTTTCCAGGCGTGGGCCCCGCGGGCTCGTTTTCGGTGCTGCACGCAGGACTCCAGGAGAGACATTTTTTTTGGAGAAACGGGACCCCGATGATGCTTATGATGCCTGGTGGGGGTGGGCCGCATCCCAGGTGGCCTAGGGCGCTGCGCAACATTCTTGCATAGCCAAAACGTGCAGCGGCAAGTGAAAAAGGAGTATCGCCCATCTCCGTCCTCCTCCGCCCCCAAGCAGCTTGCCACCGGTTTGTAAGCTTTCGTGCCCTTGGGGCGCAAGTTGTCATTTGTCAGTTCACTTATGCTTCTCCCCAAGACCGGAACTTTGAAAGACAAGCGCTGACCGCGTCTGCTGCCCATCGGCAGGGCAACCGACTGTGCTGGGACTATCCGAACCTGGAAGACAAGGCTGGGATTCCGGGTTGGGTTGCTTGACCCTCAGGGACTTTAGCCCGGGGCTCTAAACTTGAAAGTTAAAAGGATAAACCCCGCCTCTAGATCCCTAAATTCTGAAACTTAAGGCCGAAATCCGAACCCACATTTCAATCCCAAAGCCTGGAGCAGCTTCGGAAGGTCCTCACCTTCGCTGACTGCTGCAGCAGCCTAGATGCCGCCAGAGAGTGTTTCAGAGGCTGTTTGGTTCTGGGGGTTGGGGATTGGTGGTTTAGGGTTTGTGGTTGAGCTTTCGGGGTTAGGGTTTCTTCTATTGGCAAGCCGACAGGTGTGAACGGCTGGTTCAACTATGACTTCTGCTGCCTGGAGCCTGCGCCAGAGCACGAGAACTGCGACTGGAACTTCTTGCTGTCGCGAGTGGGTGAGGATGTCCAGCCCTTGGAAAACTACCCGGTGATTCTCAGGGAGGCCCTGGGTTGAGAAAGTAAGGATTGTTTCGTTGAGACCGGTGGTGTTGCTCTTGCCAAGCGTTTCTGGCAGGTCTGCTGCATTTATCCTCATCCGGGCTGCTGGGGCGACGCTGAGGACGATGTACTGGAAACTCCAAGCCCTTAACCCCAAACCCTAAACCCTCAGACCTAAGCCTAAACCCAAACCCTAAAACCTTACGCTCAACCATGAGGATGATGTACTGGCACCCATGTTTACCGAGTGCTGCTTCCCTGGTCTCCGCCGGAGGCTCCTGTATCCACAGGAGGATGATGTCACATGGTGGCTGGGATCTAGAATGCTGTAGTACAGTACGTTATGGTTGGGTCGAGTCGAGTCCAGTCTAGAAGACTAGTCTAGTAGGCTAGTCCAGTAGACTAGTCGAGTGGACTGGTCTAGCTAGTAGACTAGTCCAGTCTAGCCTAGTCTAGTCCAGTATAGTATAGCATAGCATAGTAAAGTCCAATACAGTATGACGAAGTACAGTTCAGTGTGGTTTAGTAGATACATATATATATATCTATAGATAGATAGAGTGTAGTATAGTCTAGAGCTCAACTTCTAAGGGTTTTACTTTATCCTCGTGGGAAGACTGAGGCTTGAGGGTGACCTCGATGAGGAGTTCGAAGCACTGGAGGGACTCCGATGGTCCGAGGCAGACTTTGACGCTTTCGAGGAGGCGATGCATCAGACTCCAAAGGTTAACCCGAAAGCCCAAGCTCCGCAAGTCCCTTTGTGGTGCTGGAGCGGTGGTTGCCTCGAGTGTCTTCTCAGACCCTAAACCCTAAACCCCTAAACCCTAAACCTCAAACCCTAAACCCTAAACCCTAAACCTCAAACCCTGAACCTCAAATCCTAAACCCTAAGCCTCAAACCCTAAACCTTAAGCCCTAAGCCCTGAGCCCTGCTCCGGTGCCAGGAGCTGCAGCGGTACCGCGATGCTAAGCCAGGAGAGCTGGGGCTCCTGCCCTGCCGAGTCCGAGTCCGTGGCCGGGCCGCAAGATTCTACATTCTCCCTGCCTTCCTAAGGCACTGAACTATATGTTAATATATGTGTATGTGAATAAGTAAATTAATAAATAAATAAACAAATATATATATATATATATACATACACACATATTAATATGTCTGCACACACACATATATAGATATAGATATAGATATAGATATAGATATAGATATAGATATAGATATAGATATAGATATAGATTGATTGAGTATTTTCAGTCCGCGGGCTAAGCGACCGTTGGCCGCGCATATTGCGCAAAGCAAATTCAAGGTATTTGTGTATGAGTAAATGTATATTTTCATGCTTCTCTCTATATATACATATACACATACGTATAATGTGTAATCTAGTATACATACATATATCTGTAAACTTATATGTATGCATATGCAGATATATGTATATACATAGATGTATATATATATATATATATACACATACAGAAACATATACATATACATATACACGTACACATGCACATGCACATACACATACATATACATATACATATACAGATACATATGCATATACATATATATACACATATACACAGATACACACATAGATTGCACAATAGATCCCAAAGCCCAAAACTTTCCTAAGCTTCACGAAGTCGGCAAAGCGAGGCAATGGCAAGCTGATTCCTTGCAACTACTCGCAGTGCCAGACGACAGTGGATCCCAACAACGCCTCTTTACTGGTGCATGAGGGAGAGTGGAGGAGGGAATATAAGGACTACTATAAAGCGTTTTTTGGGAGCATTAGGACTACTATAGGGAATTTTATATCGGGACTGTAAGGACTACTACAAGGGATTATGTAGGGACTATTCTAGGATCCACTCTCATATTCTCCGTTAAGCACCAATAAGGACTGCGCCTACGTCCGAGCCGTGGAAGTGGCGCTGCGCATCATCGGCACACACCTTCCCCTGCCGGATCTCGACATGTTCGTCAGCCCGACCAACAACGACGCAGGCCTTGACAAGGGTATTGAGGCATACTGCGATGAATTATGCCATACTTGTACAAAGAACATAGGGACTAGAAGGGAATCTATCCGTTCTCGATTAGGCATCTCCTCCGTGCCGGTCTTCACACGGAGTCGGCCTCGGTCGCCGCGGGGGAAGTACATTGCTCTGCCCTTTGAGTACCAGCTCCATCCCTGGCAAAGCCGCAAGGCCACTGCTACTCTGGCGAAGGTGGCATCGAAACACCCCTGGGAAAAGCGCCTGGAGAAGCTACTCTGGCGTGGCACGAACTCCAACCATGTAGTGAACCACTGCTCCCTGAAGAAGGTGGCGGAAGGGAATGCTCCATGGAGCCTCTGTGTGGAGGGCTGGCGAGAGGCCCTCCTTGGAATTGGTGATGACGGCTTAAAATGGCACACGTCCAGCTGGAATTTCACAAATTGGTACCAAACCCCAAGAGGTGTCCTGGTGTGGCTTTCACAGTACATTGCTGCCGTGGATGCTAAGTGGACCGGGATTTCACGGAACATGGATCCTGGGCTCTGGGAGTATTTTGAAGCTGAGAACATGACTGCACCATCGGTGAAGTTCGGGGAGCAGTTGGCATACAAGTACGGAATAAATATCGAAGGCACAGGCATTGGTGATCGCATCTACTGGCAGATGCTAGGTGGTCAGGCGGGGTGTTCCTCGAAACGCGTTGCCCTGCGGCTCCCTTTTGGTCCGTTCGTAGGGAGATTCCTTGAATCAAGGACGTACCCTCGACGCTTAAAGCCAAGCAGCCCAAACTACCATCCCCATTGTAGCAGCTGTTAAGAACACTCAGGTGGTGCTGAACCACGAGACGCCCCAAGTCTCCTGGCTGCTGGCGGAGCCTTCGGCGCCAACGCGGCGGGGCGCGCTCAAGCCCTACCAGCACTTCGTGCCACTGCGATTCGACCTGGCGGTGGCTAAGCTCCGTCAGTTTGTGTTGGGGCCGTTAGGGTGTTGAGCGTCTGTTTTGGGCACATTCGTGTGATGCTGTCGCGTGAAGGATCTTGTGGATCGACTGGAGTGGATGAAAAGGAGATGCGGTGAAAAGCGATGGCTGAGAGAGTTCATGGATCTGCTCTGCCCGATGCAGGAACGACGAAATTGCAAGAAGCATCGCTGAATCCTCACAGATGTTTGCAGAGAGACATCTTGGCCGCCAGCTCAGCCTTTAGAAGCTTTTCGAGGCTCGAAGTTGTGAGCAGGAGGAATGGCGTTTACCTTGACTTGAGGCTACGACTCCATCCTTTTCTATTTGGACCGTGTGATTCGCCGCTATGCCTCCGATCACCTCAAGTAGCCGACATGCGCTAGGCGACGAGAAACTTGCTGGCCGCATCGGAATTCAAGTTCTGAGAAGTGATGAATCTAGTAGCCATGGCTCCGCAAGCGTGCCTCAGTAAAGGCACAAGGCCATCGCCACGAAAGCGCATAGCCGCGGCCACACAACATTTCTGTGGCTCTCACTGACGTCGGTGGGCTTGTCTGCTCGCATTGGTTCGGGAAGACAAAGGTTGCGAATCTTGCTTCCAGAAGTTTTTTCCCCAACGGATTTCTGGCACTCCAAGGTTGGCTGCGACTGCTGCAGACGGCAAGTCAGACGAGGTGACTTTTCAGGCAACTGTCGGGGCTCTGCGGCACTTGCCTTGCATGCCCAAAAGCTAGCAGCTAGCAGTGGGGAGAGGGGTCACTCCTGTTTTGGAGGTCTGCATGGTCGGCTGCGGGCGCGCCGGGCACCCAGCGAATGTAGCGTAACACTGAGCGCACAGACCGAAGACAAGCCCCCAGGTGCTAGCTGCACATAGACTCAGTTGGGGATTTGGAGTTTGGGGTCACAGGGTTCAAGCTTCACTGGTGTGGTGTTTAGTTTAGGCTTTAGGGTTCAGGCTTCACGGTTCAGGAGCCCTAACCCTGAACCTTAAACCCTAAACCCTGAACCACTTAAAGCCTAAAGCCGAAACCCCAAAACCTAACTCGCTGCAACCCTAGCAAAGGCGCACGCTTGGCCTTTGGCCCTTCGTTTTTTTCAGGACCGGCTCTCCCCTTTTTTTGCAGAGCCCCGCACAGCGAAACACTCTGCCCCTCCGAATCACCGGAAGGGCCCAGAATGGTGATGCAAATTGTGCTCTGTTCATTCGAGTTTTAAGGGCATGCCATACTACAAGACTAACAGGAACCATAAGGGTATATTTGTGCTACTATGATAACGCAGCTTCAACTTCATAACAGAGCCAGCATTGCGAAGCCACACCACTGGCAGGACATGGCCAGCTTCAATGCCAAGCAAACGACAGCAGGCCCCTGGGACGGGTCTTAACTTTCGGGTAGGGGTTCAGGGTGTAGTGGCCTGGCGGTTTCGGGTTTAAGGGTTTTGTAAAGCTTCATCCTTACTTGCTAAGAGCCTAGGGGTCCTAAACCCTAAGCCCTAAACCCACCTAAACCCCAAACCCTGTAAGGGCTCAATCTTCATGCCGCACTCACTATTTTCTGACTGGTCCCTGTCCCATCTGCCTGCGTCCAAGGCTGCAACGCCGCCATGGCTGCGTGTGAGAAAGGCCACGCCTGGGAGAGACTTGTCTCAGAATCAATAGTATACCATAGTGTATTATAGAAAAGCAGAAATATTAACCGAAACATTATAGTATCATATTGTATATTCTAGTACAGTATAGCATGGTGTAGTATGGTACAGCAGAAGGCTCCCAACAGCTCAGTCCGAAGCCCGAAACCAACTTTAAGCCCTCAGCCTTCGAAGTGAAACCCCGGAAGCCCAAAGGCCTCCAGCCCCAACCCTAAACCCTGAACCCTAAACCCTAAACCCTAAACTCCCTAAACCCCCTAAACCCCCTAAACCCCCTAAACCCCCCAAAACCCTAAACCCTAAACCCCCCAGAAGTGCTCCGCAGCTAAGGATCGCCCTCCGGTTGCTTGAGTTCGAGGCTGAACTCCGGGTTCCACACTTTTTCAGGCGTGTTTTGAGGTTCTCGAGAGTGAGGACCCTAAACCCTAAACCAGTCTAGGGCCTAGGGTTCAAGGCTTTAGGGTTCAGGGCTAGGGCTTGGCGGGAACGTAGGGATTCTTCAGGGCTTCTAAACTGTAACAACATTTCCTTTTTGTTTCGGAACGGGTCTTTACGAATGATGTATGTTTGTTGGCCTTGAGTGTCAAACATGAGTTTTGAAGGTCGACGTGTGTATATACAGTCTCGCAGGTAGAAATCCATGCCTAGGTCTCGTGCCGTGATCTCCCAACAGTCGTGTACTGTGGACCATGGAGACTGGAATACTGGAGTGACATCTACTTTGCCAGCATTTAGCACTGTGCCAACAAGAACTCGTTTTAGCGAAGACGACACAATATGAAGGAGCATGAAGATCACAAAGCCAGGCTCAAGGCGGTTCTGCCGGGAACCCGTTGACTTGCAGTATCCTGAAACTCAAAGATTTGAGCCGTATGGTCAGGATTTGGTGGACACTCCGAGCTACAACTCAGCCATCAGCGCGCCCAAGCCACAGAGTGCATTCTGGACGGGTGTCCTTACTTTGGAGTTGTGGCTCCAAATTCGGATTCTCTTAGACATGCTTGTTCCAATAGGACTCTGATCTTAGTATGGCTCCTTCCAGACCAGCCCCTCGACATAGTGAGCCGCCCGTGCAGTGGAAAGTGTGAAGCTTGGGGTCGATGTAGTATTTTAAATACTACTACTCCTACTCCGACTCCGACTCCGAC